CAGTGTCATACAATACAGCGGTAACAGATCCAGAGGTAGACCACGAGGAATATGGACCGCAAAAATATCATAGACATTGAAAAATACTTCATACAAAGCGAACAGATGGGTCCGTTCCAGAGATCGCTTCCTGTCCTGATGCTACGATGCATTCCACGAGTAGAGAGAAGAAGAAGAAAAAGAAGAAGAAGAAGAAGAAGAAGAAGAAGAAGAAGAAGAAGAAGAAGAAGAAGAAGAAGAAGAAGAAGACTGCTATCTACAATTGGTTCTGGGATTGGAGTGGGAGTGGAAGAGGAGGAAGAAGCCGAAGAGGAGTGGTGAAGGAGTAGCAGGAGGAGGAGCAGGAAGAGAAAACAGGGGAGGGGGAGGGATTATGTTTCATACATTCCGATGTTGTCACCAGCCTATATTTATGAATCCTGGAGGCCAGAAATGATCTGTCCCACATTCACCGACTGCACATCATGGCATGTATTGTGAAAAATTCCGCTCCCGCGTTTTTAACAGTCCTGGTACCAAGGACTCAAACGATCAATATATTCAGAGCACAGCCATACTTGGGTGTGGCTTCTACACCGGTAATAGGCTTCAATTTGTATCTGCGTATTTTCCTCGCTTCACGAACAAAATTAAGAAACTTTTTTTTTCGTGCACATCGTTTTACAGGACTAGCTTATTTGTATGCAGACTGTTGGTTCCTTGCACTTCTCATGCACTTAGACTTGGAAAGAAACTCCTAATTAGTCGACTATTACGACATGCTTGATAGGGATGAAGTGGGTCTATTCTTTTACCCGCACACTGGGGTCCAGGGACGCACACGAGTAAACCATGTATCCGAATTATCTCTTGAAGTATTTTAAATTTCATATTTTACCGTGGCTCTCATTAACAACAAATTAAATGGAGGGAAAGGGGGAAGTCCTGCTGCCTCCGCAACAACCACATCGCAAGAGTCGACTAATTAGGGATTTCCTTCTAAGTCGGAGTGCATCTGCCTGAAAGGCAACGAACCAACTGTCTGCTTACAAATAGACCAGATATATAAAAAGAATGTAAAGGTAAGACTAAAGTACCGGAACAAGACTTAAGTCCAGAGGTGGACGAACAGCTGGAACTTTCCTAGAACACAATTGTTTTTTAATTTTAAAGTCCCAAACCCACTGTTGTCGGGGGCCCTGAAATAATATAACGGTTGACCGTGTTTCTGGGACTTGTGCCCGGAGGTTTCTCACCCGAATGGTGGCACCTTGTGTCATTCGGTGTTTCATCGCTTCTTGTAGTATTCTGGTCGGGTTGAACGTCACTCACACAGAGGTTGCAGCCGGTGAAGAAGAAGTAGAAGGTGGGTGAGGAGAAGAAGAAGAAGAAACAGTCAAGAAGACGAAGAAGAAGAAGAGAATTCAACAAATAGATAAAATGAAAGACGTCCTAGGTCGGGGTATGTGTGTAGTATATGGGCGCCTCCGATGACGTCATCGATTTCGGAGGTCAGCAATCGTAGTGTGTCGTCTGCATAAACAAAAACCGCCCGCAGACGGCCTCTCTCCCTTTGGCAGAGTCAGGGTCCTGGTTTGTGGCAGAGATTCTCTTGAAATTTATAACTTACATCAAGATAAATTTCTCAGTGGAGCAACCATGAATGTCGCTCAAGGAAAAGGATGTTTGAAAGAAGTTATTTTCTGTGAGGACTAGCGTGTAGTTGAACTTTAATTCGGTGTACTAGAGGGACGTTTTGTTGCAGACAACAAACAACAACAACAACAAAGAGGTGAGTGAGGCTAGGTAAGAATGATCATTTACAGAGACTGTAATAAATAAATAAATACCGATATTTTGTATTTATATGTTGTTGGATTCGCTATCCATCGTATAATTTTACATGTGAGAAATTTATGTATATGATTTTTCTTTACCATCGTCTTTAACTTCCCTATCTCATAGTATAGCCTCTAGTCTAGTGTGAAGTTCAAGCTATTTGAAACAAATTTCGAAATACAAATGACAGAATTACCCTAAATGAATAATTACATGATATAAAAAATAAACATTTATAATCTGAGAACTCGATGAACACTCTATATCCAAATTATAACCCTGAGGGTTGAACACGATATTTTTATGAAAATGTATACTGTTACTACTAACTCTACTAATTTTATAGTCAAGTGTAGTGAATTAACTAGGACAGTAATGTAAACAATATCATGTTTATCCAGTCTGGGTTGTAATCCATTGAGACATTAAACTTTTTTTTTTCTTTCTATTGCTTCTTCTTTTTCTTTTTCCCGTTTACCGGCTATAAACTCTGGCAGAAAGTTCTGGTGGTTCGTCCACCTCTGGACTTTGGTCTTGTTCCAGAACCTGAGTGTTGCATGCATATACATTTTACAGGTCTGACTTATTTCTTATGCAGACTGTTAGTTCTTTGCCTCTCAGACCGATGCACTGCGACTTTGAAGGAAGCCCCCAGTGAGTCGGCTCTTATGACATGCTTGTTGAGGAGGCAGTGGGTCTATTCTTGCCCCCTACCCCCAACCCTCACACACAGTATGGGTACCTAGAACCTCACAGGAATTTTCTGTTGCAGTATTGGATATTTATGTCTGTCATTTACTGTTGGTTATTTCATATTGCACATATTCTGTATTAATTGTAACAGTACACATTGTTAAGTTTTATATAATTTAAGACTCTTTCATATTTATGGCATTGTGATGCTGGGGTGTCTGTGGATTACCTCCCTCCCCAAACAGCAGCTAGAAATGCCCTGTACCAGTTCTAAAGGAAATATGGGTTGTGTTTCTGCCTTTCCTTTTAACACGTAGCTAAGGTGGGGCTCACAGTGTGCTCATTCCCTGCCACCAGATTGCCTGCAGGTTTCGTTGAGCTCTTCTTGGCTCTAAGCATGGCCTAAGCACGAGTAGTTGGGGCAACTGGATCATCACGTCCTGAGTCCCTGTGCCTTCACGATAGTTTCCGGTATTCAGGGGGTTAGCATACTTGTTTCCACTCCTAAGACTGAACAGATGGGCCATGGGAGATACTGGAAGAGAGGTTTATAGACACATGGCTAGACCTGATCCTAATGACAGCATTAACCATTTAACAAGAAGGGACCAGGCCACCATCTTCAGACTCAGAACACAATATACTCCACTCAATGGACACCTAAACAGAATACAGCCACAACACTCCCCAGAGTGCCAGCTATTTAACTACCCCTACGAAACTGTTGACCATCATCTCTTTGAGTGCCCAAAACTCAACGAGACTAGAAGAATGCTACTCCCTCTTAGACCAGACAGGTGGAACACCTTGTAGGGAGGAAAAGAACAGCTTGTGAAAATATGTAAATTCCACTACATGGCATTGGGCCAAAGGGCGAAAGCTCATGCGCCGCTGGATCAATAACAACAACAACATATAATTTAAGTGTTAAAAATTATTTGTATATCCTCGGCGGGATGTTGCAAAACCAGTCTCAGAATATTTTTGGCTCTTTGGTTTTACTAGGTAATTTTACGGTCAGCAGTTTGCCATTGCTTTGTGAAATTTGATAACACTGTTGAAATCAGTGCAAAGCAGTCTGCTGCCAAATTGCCTGCAGCTTGAATTAAACCGGCACCTGGAAATTATGAAGCGCTAAGCCACAGACAACAACAGCTTAAAAGCCTCTGCTTTATTCTACCTAATACTTGAATTAATCAAGTAACAGAAAGTTTTGTATTTATTTACCTAATACTTGCAAATAACTTTTGCAAAATAAAATTGTTACTAAACATTTCCTCTACTTGCTGCATTGTAGTGTGTTTTGTTTGTAACAATATCCAATTCTTCAAGTCTAGATTGTAATCGCAGTATATAATAACAAATCACAGATGTATTATTTTATTCCTGCATTTATCCCCAGGATATGATATTCAATATTTCTGGGACATATTTGAGGATTACTGTGTATATGATTAGTGTATAAAAATATCAGTAGCATTATATGCCCAATGCCCAGCTGGCATTAGCTCTTTGAGTCCCAGGGGGTTTAGCATCAAAGGCCCAATGGGTAGTAAAAAGAGACGTAAAATCGGCGCATCTTGCGTTCATTGGGCTTCTAGTTTGAAACATATGAACGTATGATACGTTCCTTGGGACTCAAAGGGTTAAGTTAATAGGACTTTACAATAAAAGATTTTTGTTACCAATAAGGCAGGTTTTGTGTGTGTGTGGGGAGGACAATTTTGATATCGATATTGTGCTACCCATGGTGAACATAAGAATGTCTAGTACTATGTATAGTTCTTGCTATGGAAGTACTTCATATTGTGGTTTTTATTAGTGTTAAAATCCAATTGGGGTCCTTTGGTTATTTTTCTCCAGGTATGCAGGTGTGTTGGGAAATGAACATGTTGTCATAGTGTCTGGTTTTATACCACTTGTGGGTAAACTGTTGCATGACAAACTAGATGTGGTCAAGACCATTTGGGACAATACTGAACCACCAACAGAGAATCATGGTTTGGAGAGAATGAAACTCCAGGGACTTACCATGGGATGTGGCTGACACTCTACACTCAGAGGAAAGTTGATATGAAAATATAATCACACTGCTACAGGTACCATCAGTCTGCAGTGATGTAACTAGAGTATGGGAGATAAGGCAGATGCCCTGGGCTCCACTTGATAGGGGGGAGGGGGGTGGTGGTGCAAAAACACTTTTTTAGTGGTAGCGACTCATTTGGAAGGTCCACAGTGAGTTTTATTTTGTTGAAGAAGGTTAGAAGTGTGCCAGCCCACACAAATATAAACACTCACCCTTTATCGGCTCACTTTTTTTGCAGAATGAATTCATTCACCTGATAGCATCCACTGTTCACTAGAATTTACTGAGACACATTTGTAGAGCCAAATACTGTGTTTTCATGTTTAAACAGCACTCTACACAAAGACTGCAGCAAAACCAGTTTTATGATAAATTATGTTGTTTCTAATAATTCCAGGTAAACATGAGCTGGTTGACAATTTTGGCGGGAAGATCCAGCCGCAGGTGGATGCCTGTCTCAAACACTGATGATAATGATGATGCTGGCAGGGATGCCTTGATGAGGATGGCAGATGGTTACTATGATGATAGCCAGCATGGTGGCAGAGCTGCAGGACCAACTGTTCATCGTAGCACCAGTGATGAACCAGTCTTTCAGCACTATAGATCGTCTCAGATTCCGTCATCACGCTCGTCATCAACTTTTGTGGATCCATCACAGTCTGAATCTCTTTCCAAGATGTTGTGTCTTTACAGCCTTGAAAAACTGAACTTTCCTCAAAAAAGATGGGTTTATGTTCTTTTGTCTGTTTTTGTGATACTTGCATTCATAGGCCTTACAGTGGGTCTCGGAGTTTACAGCCTTCTGTTTTATTACCCAGACAAACTGGTCATTGACAAGTCAGTGAAGTCTTTCAGCATCCCCAATCATGAGGCCTACCGCCACTTTGAAGCCATGATGCTTGCAAGGAAAGATAGCTTACATTTAGGACGATCTCGTCGTGACACTAGATCATCCAGGACACACTTCAGGTTGAGCAGAGACAGAGTACTTGCCAAAGAAAAGAAAATGCTTCAAGAAACAAATTCAGTGTTACGAGAGTTGGGTCACAAAGATATTGGATTTTCTGTAAGAAAGCCAGCTTTACAGTCACTTCAACCTGCTGAAGGATTCAGTATAGGGTCAGCATTTAATAGTGTTTTAAACCGTGTCAAAAGGACCACACGAAAAATTGACTGCTTGCTTGCTTACCAAAGCGTTGCCAAGTGGAAAATGCATGTCATTTATTTAGCTCATGGTGACAACAGTACAAACATGTTCACAAAAGATAGACTGCAGACAGCTCATGCCATTGAGAAGAAGATCATTCAGCACCCAGGTTTTAACAACTTCTGCCTTCGGGACCCCCGCATACAGAACGTTGTCCCTTCAGTTATGAAGATGAATGGATGTGTGCCTCTGAACTCATTACTGACCTACTTTTATCCTTCTAAGGATTCAGGTGGGACAGTTTATTACGATGGGATGGGAGGAAACCTAGTGGATATCGATAGTGCTCTCAAGCTGGCCATGACACAGGACACCTTCTACTATTATGTTGATGATAAAATCAATGCAACATTCCAGGAAAGTCATCTGTTGAGATCTGAGGTTTTGTTTGGGGCACCTCTGCAAGGTAAGTTATTAGATGATAGCCTTCCCATGTGGGTTCTGGGACCCCATTGTGGGGGGGGGGGGGGGGGGGATAAGAGTAGACCCACTACCGCCTCATTATGGAGGATAAAGAGTAGACCCACTGTCTCAACATGTGGGTTCTGGGACCCCATTATGGGGGGAAAAGAGTATACCCACTGTCTCATGTGGGTTCCGGGACCCCATTATGGGGGGGAAAAGGAGTAGACTCACTACCTTCTTTATAAGCATGTCGTACGAGATAACTAATTAGAGATTTCCTTCAAGGTCGGAGAGCATTTGCCAGAGAGGCAAGGAACCAGCAGTCTGCATATAAATCATCTGTATGTAAAATGGATATGCATACAAAACTCAAGTTCTGGAACAAGCTAAAATCAAGAAGTGGATGGACAGCCAGAACTTTTGCACAGAAGTTATATTCAGTGAATGCAAAGAAGAAGAAGAAGAAGTTGATATGATAGCCACTGTTTGTTCTGTCAGGTTGTGTGTATTATGCTGTTTCTAGCTTATATGGTAGCCATTGTTTGTTCTGTCTCGTTTCAAACACAGTGCTGTCTCTAGATTATATGATAGTCCTCCTTTGTTCTGGATTATATGAAAACTATTGTTTGTTCTATATAATTTTATATACCATGCTATCTCTAGATTATATGATAGCCATTGTTTGTTCTGTTTAGTTTCATATACCATGCTATCTCTAGATTATTCGATAGCCCTCCTTTGTTCTGGATTATATGGAAACCATTGTTTGTTTAATTTAGTTTCATACACCATGCTATCTCTAGATTATATGATGGTCCTCCTTTGTTTCTGGATTATATGATACTCCTGCTTTGTTCTAGATTATATGAAAACTATTGTTTGTTCTATCTAGTTTCAAACACAGTGCTGTTCTCTAGATTACATGATATTCATTGTTTGTTTTAAGTTTCATGCACATTGATGTCTCTAGACTGTATCACAGCCATTGTTTACTCTAGAAAGCTGTGTGCACAGTACAAGCACCATATGTGGTGCAAACATGTATCTGCTACCAGCCTTTCAGATCCTGCTATAGTCGTTTGTAATTACAGAAGCTAACAGTTTTAAGTTCATTGATATGAATTGAGCTACAGCTGTGTGTCATTTCAGACTACTTCTTCTTCGCGTTCACCAGCTGTAAACTCTGGCGGAAAGTTCTGGTTGTTCATCCACTTCTGGACTGCAGTCCTGTTCCAGAACCTGAGTGTTGCATATGCATCCGTTTGACAGATCTGACTCATTTGTGTGTCAGACTGCTAGTTCCTTGCCTCTCAGGCAGATGCATTCCAACTTTGAAGAAAGCTCCAAGTTAGTTGACTCTCACGACATGCTTTTGGGTAGGCAGTGGGTCTATTCTTGTTTTCCCCCACAACGGGCACTGGAACCAACATGGGGAGCTAATAGTTTTAAGTTTGGTAATGTCAGTCCCCTCGCACACTACAGTCTCTCTGACACCATTTCAGATTCTGACAGTCAGAAAATTTTTTTTCTAGAAAAAAGATGCTGGTACTCACCACATTGTTTTAAAAAAAAATAATAAAAACGATGCCGTTACTGACCTCAAAGTGTCTGTTACAATAGTGCTGAAAAAAATACTGCCCCCCAAAAGATGCAGGTACTGTGTACCCTTGCGTACCACCAGAAAAAAATTACTCCTAGCAGTTACAATTGTTTCATTGTGTTATTTATTTACTCATCTGTGTACATTTAATATTTCCGTGTTATTTATCTACTGTTGTTTAGCAATTAAGTCTGTATGATCAAGTACACACATTCATTCATTCATTATCCTGGTGTTTCATAGGGCTCGCAGTCTATTCCTTCATTCCGTTCTAGCCTGTGGGATCAATTCAATATCATGGATGGAATCCGGTCCAGCAGCTTTGGCCTCTCTCATCAACAATCGTCTCAAGGTTTCTTTTGGGCGTCCTTGCCTCCTTAATCCCTTTTTCCCCATTTTAATGCCTTTTAGGTGATTCTCTGCTGGTTTCTTCTCACGATGTGTCAGACGTAGTGCCAACTTCTCTGTCCTATAACTGTTGATACTAGTGGTTGCCCAGACATAGCGCCATCTTCTCTGTCTTGTAACTGTTGATACTATTTATTGCCCAGACATAGTGGCAACTTCTCTGTCTTATAACTGTTGATACTAGTGGTTGCCTAGACATAGTGCCAACTTCTCTGTCTTGTAACTGTTGATACTAGTGGTTGCCCAGACATAGCGCCATCTTCTTTGTCTTGTAACTGTTGATACTAGTGGTTGCCCAGATATAGCGCCAACTTCTCTGTCTTATAACTGTTGATACTAGTGGTTGCCCAGACATAGTGCCAACTTCTCTGTCTTAAAACTGTTGATACTAGTGGTTGCCCAGACATAGTGCCAACTTCTCTGTCTTATAACTGTTGATACTAGTGGTTGCCCAGACGTAGTGCCAACTTCTCTGTATTATAACTGTTGATACTAGTGGTTGCCCAGACATAGTGCCAACTTCTCTGTCTTATAACTGTTGATACTAGTGGTTGCCCAGACATAGTGTCATCTTCTCTGTCTTGTAACAGTTGATTCTAGTGGTTGCCCAGACATAGTGCCAACTTCTCTGTCTTATAACTGTTGATACTAGTGGTTACCCAGACCTGTACACACATATATACATACAAATGTATGCACACATACACACCCATACACATATGCAGGCACCCATGCAGATGTATACAAACACATAAAGCTTGTGATTGTGACACAGTATCCTAGGTGTTTGTATGGAAAAAAAGGGTATGTGGGGGAAAGGGGGAGGGCGCTGGTGGTGGTGGGTTGTTTCCTCTCGGCAGCTTTAGCCAAAGGCCTACAGAATCTGTGCTTTTGACAACTTTCTTTCCTGTTCAGACACATTGTTGTTCTCCTTGTTTGCACTCTATGATTGCATTCCAGGTCCCCTGCTGTTGGTACTCAGGTTTCTAAAGCAGAGTTATCGGTTCAGTTGTGACTTTGGCTGGCATACAGTGGAGGCTCACATTTTCCTCTAGGAAACATGATCAAATATAAGACGAATCACTAAGGTTCAGTTGTATCTTATATGACCAGCGTATGTCTTTAGGCAAGGTCCATCTTTGAAAATGTATATGTGTAGGCATTGTGAAAGGTGTGTTTTCACAAATGCTGTATACTTATTTTGTCCATATCATCCTTAAGGAAGAAAAATTGGAAAGGGGGGTGGGGTGAAGGGGGGGGGGGGGTGGCTTATTGGCTAAAATATTACGGAAAGATTCTCAGAGTTACCGCGGACAAAGAAGACAAAATACTGACATCCTAAAAAATATGAATGACAAGGAAGATTGGATAGTAAACAGCAGCTTTTCTCAGAAACTGAGATATTTTGGCCATATCAAGTGCCACGGCAAATTTGAAAAATATAACAGAAGACATGTTTAATTAAGAATCAACATCACAGCACTTGTGACATTCCTATAAGTGCTCCATCCCCATCATCAGCAGCAAGCGCAGAGATCCAGTTTCAGTGGTACCAATAGCTGTCTGATTGTATGTTCCTTTCGCCATTTCCAAAAGTGCTGACCCTCGACCAGATCCCCTGGTCACTCCTCGCAGTACCATTCTCTTCAGACCATGATGATCTGTCTGTGCTTCTGCACTGTTCATTCACCACCAGAGGGTCCTTACAACATCTAGCCTGTCATGCATTACCCCTACCACCAAATGGTGCAGAACCAGCCAGTCTATCTGTCTGTTCATTTCCTAATACACCCACCTGTCCTGGGGAAAATATCCAACAGATGCTAACTACCCGGGACCTCTGAAGCGATGCTTGCCACTCATCATGGGGTATACCAGTCTCCACCTTTCTCAAAATGCTTTGTGAGTCGGTTACAATTACGACAGTGTTCAGCTTATTCTGAAACCAGTGAAAGACTGCAGTGACTACCTCCATCTTCATTCTCAAACTAGATGCTGTGGTGTCATATGCCAGGCTTTGTTGCACTAAACAACATCCATTTACCCAATGAGCTTTGTCTGCCTCTCAACAGGGAGCCATCTGTATGGATTATCACATCATCTGGGCGGGAATTGACATGAATCATTTGTTGAACTTCTGATTCTGCAGCACCAGCTGGTCTGTCCCTGCACTCATGACAAAGTGTGATCGGAACCGTACACATTCTGATGCACTTCTCTCCTCGCTCAATGTTATCAAGCCTACACAAATGTCTAGTAGTGTCTTCAGCTTGCACCATCCAAGACCTTCCTCTTTTCCAGCTGTGACACTTAGATCTGCCTAGAGCTTCATGCAGAAGGTGTTTCCTAGCTGCGGCTACTCTGAGATATGACTTAGCTTTGCAGCACTTTGAGCCCATTAAGCAAAGAAAACACAAACAATAGACAGGGCAAGCCTGGCATATATCGCATCTATCAGGTGCATACACATAACAATTAATTGTACATCCCAAAATTACCCTCAAATTTGACTACATTCTGTATGCGTGCCAAGTTTCATCAAGTCCGGACACATCGTTGAAAACGGCATGTTTTTAGAACTTTGTGATGAGTACCGGCAACCGTATTTACTTCTATGCGTGAAGCGTCAGTGATCCGCCCTTTGTGGGCACTTAGTACCATTACAAATGTTTGTGATAAAGATGTGACACAGACCATGATTGATTACCTGTTTTTTTATACACTGGGAATTTATAATGTTGACTGTTTATACTGGGGGGGGGGGGGAATTTATAATGTTGACTGTTTACACTGGGAATTTATAATGTTGACTGTTTACACTGGGAATTTATAATGTTGACTGTTTACTCTGGGAATTTATAATGTTGACTGTTTACACTAGGGATTTATAATGTTGACAGTTTACACTGGGAATTTATAATGTTGACTGTTTACACTGGGAATTTATAATGTTGACAGTTTACACTAGGGATTTATAATGTTGACTGTTTACACTAGGGATTTATAATGTTGACTGTTTGCACTGGGGATTCATAATGTTGACTGTTTACACTGGGGAATATATTGAGCTTCCCATTTCAGGCTACACCTGCATCAATGAATTCAAGAAAGACCAGGATGAAAAGTTTAAGGACTTTGTGGTGACATACATCAGCCTACTGTCCAAGTCGTCCACCGAGTAAGTTACGTCTATATGTTTTGTACAGTTGAACAGGATAACTGCTCTTGATTTATGAACCTGTTCTAGCTACAGCTACTTACCATATGTTGAACTGTGGCTGTGATCAAACTTGATCTGTCTCTAGCAGCTGGCCTTATGTTGAACCATGATTGCTTTCAACATGCATCAGTCATCGTATGCATAGTAACTTACACTTTTTTAACCATGGCTCTTGTGTCTTTGGAAGATTTACCGTATGTTCAGCTAGGGCTCTTGGGCCATGCTTAGACAAATTAATTACTGTATGTTCAGCCTTGGCGCTTGAGTCATACTTAAACAGATTAATTACTATATGTTTAGACTTGGCTCTTGAGCCATGTTTAGACAAATTAATTAGTATCTGTTCAGCCTTGGTCCTTGAGTCATACTTAAACGGATTAATTACTATATGTTTAGACTTTGCCCTTGAGCCAAATTTAGACAAATTAATTACTATATGTTCAACCTTGGCTCTTGAGTCCCACCACTGCCCCCCCCCCTCCTTTTTTTCCCCTTTTCAAACAAGCTAATCATAGGAGATGACTAATTATGGGTGTTTCTGTCAAAATCGAAGTGCATCTGCGTGAGAGACAAGGAACCATAAGCCAGATCTTTTAAACATGTGCATGCAAAACTAAAGATCTGAATGAAGACCAAATTCCAGGAATGGACGAACAACCAGAACTTTCCACCAGAGTGTACAGCCATTGAGCACCAAGAAGAAGAAGAAGAATGAGACATGCAGTCCTGGAGATAATAAAACACATGCTCACAAGCGCACACATTGGGAAGAGAGTCAGAAAAAAGAGAGAGAAATCCAGTGTGCAAATCTGTAACCTATACTCTGTTATTCTATACAGAGAAAGGGGCGTCCGTGGCTCAGGTGTTGCGAGTCAGACTTCCAACTTACCGCAATCGAAACCCACTGCTGGCTGCGTGGATTTTTATCATGGTATGGGGCGCCGCAGGTTGAGCCAGCCTAAAATGGGTACTAGGATGGATGTCCTGGGAAAGTAAAGACGGCTGACGTAATGCTGACCACATTACCCACCTAGTGCCGTGGTCTGTAAAAATATGGGTGCTCTTCCCATATGCCTGATGCACCTAAAGGCGGGAAAAGGGATCTTTACTTTACCTTACTTTTACTCTGTACAGAGAAAAAAAAAATTTCATATATACAGTAATAAGTTAATTGAGAAAATTGTCTTTCCCTCCCAAAGCAAAGTGCGTGTTTTGTACGGTGGCACTGAGATCTTTGACTATGAGGTGACGTCGTCATTTTGGAGCGACGTCCGTCTGGCCATCATCTCACTAGTGGCTATCTGTGTGATCATGCTGGTCCTGTCACTGTCACTGTACCTGACAGTTATTGGCATTGTCGTTATCGGGGTCAGCTTCCCCATCTCGCTCTTCTTCTATCGAGTGGCCTTCGGCATCAACGCTCTAGGAATTCTCAATGGTGCTGCTGCTTTTGTCATCATTGGAATAGGTAAGTAATGGAGATTTAGTTGAATTATTTTGTCTATTTATCTGGATCCTTCTTTTCTGTAGACTGTGTGGCTGCATAGTGGTTCACAGCATAAGTGTATGGATGTTGCTTAGTGCAACAAAGCCTTGCATGTGATATCACAACGTCTAGTTTGAGAATGGAGGTGGAGGCAGTCACTGCTGCCTTTCGCTGGCTTGAGAATCAGCTGTACACCATGTCGTGATTGTAACTGACTTACGGAGCATGTTGAGAAAGGGGGGAGACAGGCAGTGGCAAAAATCAGAAGGCAGTGGCAAACTACTGAACGTAACATTTGCCTAGAAAAACAGCCAACAAATACTGAGGTTGTTTCTACAACATTCTGTAAAGGATACGAAACTAACTTTTCTTCTACCCTGGTGTCTTAGTGGTATTGTGTGGTCTTTTTTGTTCTGTACATACACACAAGAAATTACAAGTGTGAACAGCTCAGCGTTTTATATGTATATTCAAACCACTGTATTGTGTAAAAGTGGGGACAGTGAACAAGCAGTTTTAATATCAGATTGAGACGTAGATATGTGGATTCCCCATGTGGGCTACAGGGCCCCCTTTTGGGGAATAAAGAATAGAATTACAGGAGTCCAGATAAAGTTTCTAGTTGCTTTTCAGGTGTGGACGATGTGTTTGTATACATGAACATCTACAGACAAGCTGACCACATGAAAGACCCTGTCAAACGAATCTGGTACACTGTCAAGACAGCTGGTGTAGCTACATTCTTCACTTCCTTCACCACGGCTGCAGCTTTTGCCGCCAACATCGCCTCCTCGGTGAGTCATTAACCTGACTATTTTTGATTGCTGAATTAACCATGTCTGTCTATCATTATGATAAACTTCTTCTGTAAATCAAAGCAATGTTTCCCATTGTAAATTTGAATAAAGAAGACACAAACAAATTAAATTGCAAAATTTATTGACTGGCATATTTCGGCATATTGTTGTTGAATTTGTACTTCAGTTGTAAAGGATTCACTTTTTTGCTTATGTATATAATTGTTATTGTAGTATGCACCCGACGAGATACAACGAAAAATACCAGGCAATAAATTGAGTAATCTGTTGTTTGTGACTTCTTTTTAAACTTCTTCATTGTTAAGCTCTGGCAGAAAGTCCTGGTTGTTCATTCATTTGGACTTCAGTTTAGTTCCAAGACCTGAGTTTTGCATGTACATCCATTTTACTTATGTGTGTGCAATTGGCTGTTCCATGCTGCCCTGGCAGATATACTCAGATTTTGAAGGAAGCCCCCAGTTAGTCGACTCCTATGACATGCTTGCTGGGAATGGAACCCACATGGAAAATTATGATAAACAGATGCATTTTACAGTGTATAAGACAGTCTGTTTTCTGTAACTTTTTAAGTTTAAAACTGGAGATTGCCTTATACATAAAATGTGTGTAAAATAATAATTCTTAATTTTAGGCTAAATAAAGGTCATCTTATACATTAGGGCTTCATATACACAGAAAAATGTGGTATATTGATCAAATATACTTTTACAAACTGGACACCACAAGTACATTGTAGGTAGGTAGGTAGGTTGTTGTACCCCACCAGGACATCAGACAAGCGATAAACACCCGGTGACACAAAGTGCCACCATGCGGATGAGGATCACCCGTGGAGAGGTCCCAGAAACCCCTTTCAGCTGTTAGGCTATATCTATGCCCCAGCTATATTCAGGGCTCCCAGCAGAAGCCAGGGTGGGGCTTAAGATAACACCCAAAAAATGCTTCCCACATCGAGACGACATTACAAATAAGTACATTGTGCTCGTATTCTTCTTTTTATAGTCCATGCCATGTGGCATTGACATGTGTATCTACAATCTTCTGTCTCATGTACTTTCAGTCAGTGCTGACACACATGATCTTCCATGCCATGATGTCGAACTGTCCACCATCTTCTCTCTTTGCTTCTTTTCCCCCTTAAACTTTCTAACCATCACTATGTACTTCAGTTTTCTCCTTCTCCTGACATGACTTAGGAATGTAGATAGTCTCTTTCTGATGTGGGCAATTAGTTCTCTTCGTGAGTCAGTTTCTTTCAAGACGTCTTCATTACTTTTGTTAACAGACCAGAACATTCTCATCACTTGTCTATTTACCCCCGTGTGGGTTCCGGGGTCCCACTGTGGGGGAAAACAAGAATAGACCCACTGCCTCCCCAAAAGTATGTCGTAAGAGTTGACTAATTGAGGAGCTTCCTTTGAAGTCGGAGTGCATCTGCCGGAGATGCAAGGAACCAACAGTCTGTTTTCAGGAGAATGAGATCTGTAAAACTGATGCACATGCAACACTCAGGTTCTGGAGCAGGACTGCAGTTCAGTAGTGGAGGAGCAACCAGAACTTTCCGCGAGAGTGTACAGCTGGTGAACGCGAAGAAGAAGAAGAAGAAGAAGAAGAAGAAGAAGAAGAAGAAGAAGAAGAAGAAGAAGGAGAAGAAGAAGGAGAAGAAGAAGGAGAAGAAGGAGAAGAAGAAGAAGAAGAAGAAGATTTGTCTATTTAAAAAAAACACCTCATCACTGCCTCTTCTACATAATTGTTCACTAATCGTCCAACTGTCCATGATTCATTTCCATGTATCAGGATAGGATTTAAGTCATCCGAATATACAATTGGAGCTTGACTTTTTCAAAAGTTACCTTGACTCCCATATCGACCTAGCCTTAAACTGGTATTAGGAACGGTCCTGTGAAGTAAAAGTGGACGGTGGGATGTTGACCAATCACCCACCAAGTGCTGATAGGTCTATAAAAATTGTTCTAGCCCTATATAACCAATACGCCTGAGGATGTGGGAAAGGGTACTTTACGTTTTACTTACTTAATTGAACAGTTAGCCAAAAAATGTATACACAGTAGTTGCGCAGCAGTGAAGTGTATCTACGTGAATGATATTTGCAGCCATTTAATACATTATGGTAACAGTATGTTGCCTAGAGTTTTTAAAACAATAGGCTATAGAAACATTTTGCGACTATATTTATTAAGACACAAAGAGATGCATGCAAGTTACAGGTGATGTAATGAAGTTACTACGGGTGCTCAAAGTGATTCCCATTAGCCTCCTGGCATATTTCATAACCATAAAACAATATGTAGCTACTGTAATAGGATCTAAATATGGCGGAATATGTCACATAATGATGGTGTTTTTAAACAAGTAGCCTCTATGAAAATGTTAATTTATTTCACTGCTGGGCGATTACTGTGTATGAAAGTAAAGGACCCTGTTCCATGCCTTTCAGGCTCATTAGGCATATAGGGCTAGACCTATATTTTATAGACCAAACGGCACTTGGTGAATGATGTGGTCAGCATCATGCCGGCCACCTTTACTTCCCAGAACTGTAGGTGTTACACACTCAAGGCTCGGTCGACCTAGGAGCCAAGGTAATTTTTGAAAAAAAGTCCAGCCCTCACCAGAACCCAAACCCGCGACCTTCGATCCATAGGCAAAGCTGCTAGACCACGGCGGCTTCCGATTACTGTGTATACATTTTGTGTGTGTGTGGCAAACTCCGTACAGTGAGGAAACCTGATAGTTTATTTTATATGTTCAGATCCCAGCAGTGTATGAGTTTGGATTATTCATGTCACTGATCGTGTCCAGTTGCTGGGTGTCGGTGTTTGTACTGATGCCGCCCACCTTGTACCTCCATGCCTGCTTCATAGAGCCCATTGAGAAGCTGATGCTCTCGTAAGTTGCTTGTTCTTTGTCTGTGTTTAATTGATTGATTTTTCTTCCAAGTCAGCTGTTGAATGTGCAGAACTGTTGAGTCTTGCGCTAAGATCTGAAATCACAGCATTTAGAACATTCCCAAAAGTGCTCCATCTGTATCTTGGCAGTCAGAGAAAAGTTCCTTCTTCTTTTTCTTCTTCTTTCGTTCGCTTTAAATAAATTATCTATATCTGCAATGTTGTCTCTAGTATGAACTCCACTGTTATAAACTTCACTGTCTTTTGTAATTTACTCAGCGACCCGTAAAGTTTGACTTGCACCAATGTTTCTCTTGGCCAAAAGTTTAGCCTTAATATGTTGTATTTGGGACAGTCTTGGAGAACATGATCTGTTGTCTCAGGTGCCAGTACACATGCGCACATGGCTGATTCGCCAATTTTAAATTTAGTGTACATATGGCTGCGAAGTTGATTGAAGAGTTCCAATTCTGATGGTGCCAGTAGCACTTTGATTGTATGTCCATCTTGCCTTTCCTTTGAGTGTAGAGTGTCGACCCGATCCCCGGGTCACTCCTAGCTGTACCATTCTCTCTGGACCATAATGATTGATTTGTGCCTCTGCATTGTTTCACCTACTCTTGAATGGCTAGGATCACATCTAGCTTGTCCTGCATTAATTCACCACCCACTGGTGCAGAACTAGCCAGTCTGTCTACCTGTTCTTTTCCTCAAACTCCTGCATCCCTCTAGAGAAAATTTCCCCAAAAAAAACAACAACACAATAACAACTATGTAGAACTGGTTTTTTAATATGTGCTGTTTCAGATCATATGGTGAGAGTTGTAGAGACCTGCAGCGTTATGTCCTTGCCCCAGGTTCATGAACAAGTCACACAGTTTCTTGAGTACTCATACACACATGCATATATTACACACAAGCAAACCAATGTATATCTATACTTACAGGGGTATCAACACACACACACGTGGAAGTAAAGCGTAGGGAAACATGGGATCTTTAAGATCAAGATAGGAGACATTATAACCAGCTCCTCATAGGAACAATCAGTAAAGATACCTTTGAATGGCTGCTGTATCGGAGGACTGAGCACACATGGGAATGCCTGATGTGCAGCAGTGTCCATTGTGATAACACACTTTCACACACACTCACACAGGTATATTGGCCCATTAAAAAGCAAGGGTATTTGAGGAATGGTAAGGGAATAGGGTAAATTAGTAATTCTAACAAAAGTGATAAATGTTGAGTTGAGTTGGGTCAAGAATTGACATCACAGCACTTGGGGCATTCCCATGCATGCTCTGTCCTCATCTTCAGCAGCCAGTTCCAATACTGATGGTACCGGTCACAATCTGGTTAATTGTCTGTCTTGCCTATCCTTTGAGTGTAGTGAGCCGGCCAGACCCTCAGGTTACACCCATGTGCCTCATTCTCTCCAGTCCATAATAATCTGCTTTCTCTACTGATTCCATTGCTTGTTCCCAAAGGGCCTTCACCATATCTGCCTTGTCATGTATCAATTCACCACCTAGTGGTGCAGATCCAGGAAGTCTGTCTGCCTGTTCATTACCCACCACACTGGCATAGCCTTTAGAAAAGATCCAAAGTGATAAATAAGGAATGGTAAGGAGATTAACAGAGACATAATAAAGAAAGAGAATATATGATGGATTTATGGATAGGTGGGTGGTTGGTGGCTAGTTGGATGGATGGATGGATAGATGGATGGATGAATGGGTAGGCTGGGCTATTGGAAAGAAAGGAAAATGAAAGAAAAAAAAAAGAAAGAAAGAAATGATAACCTGCAAGCACAGTTTTTAAACAGTTGAAACAATAACTTCTCATTGTCTTGACTTACCTGTGTGGCTGCTGCACACAGTGCATCACTGTTTGTGTGTCCTCATTCGTGTGTGCTAGCTGCATTGTTCTTCAGATTGTCTGCTTGTAAAAATGTCAATAGCAACAAATGTTATCTCTGTTGCTTTATTTGATCAGGGCAGTGCCACAGTGTTTTGCCTCCCCCTTCCCCCTCCTCTCATTATTTTTAACTGTCTTTCTATCTCTCTCTCTGACACACACACATACTCACTCATTCACTCTTTCTCTCTTCTACTCTTTTTTTTCTCACGCTCTCTCTTTCTTTATCTCTGCTGCTTTATTGATTAGGGAATTGACAGGTTGTCTGATCTCTCTTTCTCTCACACTCACCAACACACCCACACACACTCAACTCATCACTCTCTCCCTCTTTCTCTCAGTCTTTCTCTCTCTCTCTCACCTCTCTTTCATTCCACTCTTTCTTTTCTCTTCAGTCTCTTCTCTCTCTCTCTCTCTTCTCTCTCTCTCATTCTCTCACTCATTCTCTCTCTCTCTCTCTCTCTCTCTCTCTCTCTCGCTTAATTCTGCTGCTTCATTGATCAGGGCAGTGACAAGTTGTCTGACCTTTCACTCTTTGTCTCTCTCACACACATGCTCACTCATTCACTCTCCCTGCCACTTTTCTCTCTCTCTCTCTCTCTCTCTTTCTCTCTCACTCATTCATTTTCTTTCTTTCTCTCTCTCTGTCTCTCTCTTTCTATCTATCTCTGTAATTTCTCCCAGGGTCTCTGGCATCACTCAGAGTGTCCCTGTCTCTAATCTGTTCCCCCATTACATTACTTTCTTTCTACCTCTGTCTTTCTCTCTGTCTCTCTGTCTCTCTCTTTCTATCTATCTCTGTAATTTCTCCCAGGGTCTCTGGCATCACTCAGAGTGTCCCTGTCTCTAATCTGTTCCCCCATTACATTACTTTCTTTCTACCTCTGTCTCTTTATGATTCTGTCTTTGTCTCTTCACCTCTTTTTTCAACCTTTGATCTCACCTTTCTGTTTTTCACCTTTTATCTATGTGTCTTCACATCCCTGTCTTTTCTTCCCACCTGTCTTTGTCTCGTTTTTTTCTCTGTCTCTGTGTCTCATTACCATTGTATCTTACTATCTTCTGTCACCTCATATATTTTATCATTGATTTTTCCTTTTGACTTTTGACTTTTGTATCATTACACCTCTGGCTTTATACCTGTCTTTGTCTATTCATTCCTTTGCCTCTCCACCCCTGTCACTTAAACCCTTTGTCTCTTTACCCTGCTGCCTCAACCCCCCCCCCCCCCCCTTTTCCCACCCCCACTTTCCCCAGTATTCTACCCCTTGGTTTCTCTACTTTATCATCTTTATCCCCCTGTTTTACGTCACTATCTGAATGTCAGATAAAGATTTTTACCCACACTGAGTATTCTCAAGCACTGATGAGAAACCATGTAGATATTGTTGAGACCACGAGAAGAAAACACAGACAGGCCAACATAAACACTGGCACACAGTGAGCCCCAACAAGCAAGTTTTCAGGAATATTTTATGACATCCATCCAGGTCAACTTGAAGAGAATTTACAGCAACAAGTACTTGTTACTAGCCATGTTTTTGCCCGCAGCCTGCTATGATTCTTTTGTTGAAGTTTGCAACACATTAAATCAGACTTGAACAGTTTTATATTTAGACTTGCCCAGTTCTGTGCGGTTCTCCCAGTTCAATGAATGCTATGTCAGACTGTTGAACTACCCACAGGTTATATATGCTTGGGTGCACAGTTGTACAGGGTGTCCAATAAGTTTCCATACATAGGAAAAATAAATATATCACCAATACCCAGTGGAGGACATTCACTGAAATGGTTTTCAAAACAGCTGTTGTCTTTTGAAGCATTTTATGTTTAAAAAAAAATGGTTTGCATAAGAATTTCTTTTTTAATTGTTCCTTTGTATCTTTTCCTATATAAACTGGCATCATGAGAGCTAATAGACTGAAATGGTTGTGGCATATTGAGAGAAAGTCACATGACAGAGAGGTGAAAACTGAATACACCAGGGAGATGAATGGTCGTAGACCACGAGGCAGACCAAGAAGAATAGAGACAGTGTCCATGGAGACCTGCAAACACATGGTGTCACCAACTGCAAAGAGAAGGCCAACCAGAGAGATGAGTGAAGGAGGGTGATATCTGCTGCAATGAATCTCAAGGGCTTGTAATGCTGAAGAAGAAGAAGAAGAAGAAAGATGTATGGACGCTTATGGGACACCCTGAATATTAATCTGTAACATTTGAAGACTTTTCTTTTTCTTGAACATATTTCTAAGAAGCACAAATAAATTTTTTTTGGTTGCTTAGTTTTTTATTTCTGTACTCTGCTGAATCGACATCACAGCACGCGGGATATACCCATAAGCACTGCATCCCCATCTTCAGCAGCAAGAGCAGAGTTCCAACTCCGATGGTACTAGTAACAGTCTGATTGTATATCGGTCCCACCCTTCCCCTAAGTGTTGAGTGTTGGCCATTGAGCGTTGGCCAGATCCCCTGGTTGCTCCTCAACACTATTGTCCTCAGACCTTAATGATCTGCTTGTGCCTCCACACCGTTCACTCACTCCCAAAGGACCCTTGCAGCATCTGGCTGATCAGGCATCAAAATACTGCCAAGCTCTGCTTGGTGTTCCCAAAGTTTAACTGTAGTTGTTATCTCTTTTGGTATTAGGGAAATCTAAAATATTTTAGAAATTTGTCTGTCTCCTCTGTCCAATACTTCTGTTAGTATTCATTCTATTCCCAATTTTTAGTTTAATTTTGTTGCAACCTTTTTGTGTTATATTAACTCATTAAGCCACAAAGTTAGCTATAGCGGTCTATAGACACTTTGGATTAGTTTTAACCCTTCCACCCCCACTAATGCTAAAGAAAATTTGTCAGGGGGATTTTCGTAAAAAAACAAAAACAACTATAACAGACCACTATGAGCTATTTTATTGACCACAGGTAAGTAATAAATTTGAACAAAGAAGACACAAACAATAGATTGCCCAATTTATTGCCTGGCATATTTCGCTGTATCTCGTCAGGTGGAAGAGAAAGCAGAGGCAGAAAGACTTAAGTTAAAAGAAGAGGCAGAAAAATTCAGATTTATGTGGAGAGAGAAAAGCCTGAACTACAAATTAAGTTAGAAAAGGAAAAATTAGAGCAGAACAAATACTTGAGGAACAGGAGATAGCATTTAAAAGAGAGCAAATGATGACTGTAGTATGCACCTGACGAGATACAGTGAAAAATGCCAGGAAATAAATTGTCCAACCAATTGTTTGTGCCTTCTTTGTTCAAGTAATAAATTGTTTGCAAATTTTTTTTTCTAAATTTGTTCCTTTTTTGTTTCAAAATATATAAAGATATTTAGAGGGAGTATTCAGTAAACAAGAATAGAGTGAAGCATTAAATGGAATGCATTCCTCAGAGCCTCAGTCCCTCTATCACTGAAGCTATGGGGACATTTTTAAGTCAACCAGGCTTTTAAAAAGCTATTGGATTCTCACTGAAGCCCCTCTAATAACTATTTTGTTAATAAATTCACACCTACACCTTCTACACACTATGTAGGTGCACATAGAACCATTGGCACTTAACTGCACTTCTCAAGAACAGGTTGCTGCAGAAATCGTGACATATTAGCATTTAGACACAAATAGAAGTGACTTAATTTAGTCTTCTTTAACGTAATGTAAAGTCTTCTGTTAAAGTAACAGCTGATTGAGTTAGAAAGAGTTAAGGAACATTGTGACATTTTGTTGACACTGTGATCTGGAGCTTCTGTAAGAGTCCTGCTTGTTTACTGGATACAACAAGTAAAGAGTTGTGTTGAGTTGCCCTAGCCCAGTTGTTAAGGACACCAAACCTCAAGCTCTTTGTCACACTAGGGGGAACTTTGGCCTGCTTTCTGCAGCTGTAATTAAACACCCCTGTTCAAAATGTATTCACATTTTGGGGGGTTGATTCATACATTGAACACATTTTCCCCCAGCCTTTTACCTCCTTTCACTGAGGAGAACAGTGTTGCTAGGGGATATAGAAATATTGATCAAATGGTGACAAACTGGGGGTTGCCTATAGTTGTAAGTCTATTACATAACTAAACGCTCCACTGGCGACCTCTTTTAACTGAAAGGTAAATATTAGTAATCACTATGAAAGGTTTCGCCACTGATATTACATGTAGTTGATAAAAGGCAACAGCCATCTTTGGTGGAATTAAAGACTCATAGCACACTTTCAACTGCCTCAGATTCGTCAAATACAAACGAACACATTAGTTTTAACTCTTTGAGTCCCAGGAGCTTTAGCATCACAGGCCCAAGGGTTAGTAAAGACAGACATAAAATCGGCGCATCTTGCTTTCATTGGGCTTCTAGGTAGCAACCTATGAACGTATGATGCGCTCCTTGGAACTCAAAGAGTTTTTTAAAAAAAAAGTTAATTGTGCATATATGTAATAGTGGAGCCGCAGTAGAGCAGTATGTTTACCTGCCAACTCAGAGGTCAGGGGTTCTAATCCGCATTGAAGTGGATTTTTTTTTTTAAAGTTAATTTGGCTGCCAAGTTGACATAACTAAAAATAAGTACCAGGTAATGTCTTGGGAAAAAAAGGTGGAATGTTCTCCACAATACTCATGATAAGTTTATAAATATAGATCTAGCGCTAAATGGCTGGTGCCCGAAAGGCTTGTAGAGGCTTCACTACTTATAACCTTTGTAACTTTATAACCCGACTTTGTCCAGGGTAGATTCACACTGATTCTTTGTTCAGTATCTCTCCTTTATGGGTGTTTCTAAAATAAATATTGTAAAAGCTAGTGTTGGAAGTTGGAAATTGAATGAAAATATCACAGTGGATCATACCTCTTGCAACACCCACAAAATATAGTCCATCAACTGGCAAATTCACTTTGCTACTAAAAGTATGGTTACGTCGCAGGTCGACCCAGCCTAAAATGGGTACCAGGATGGGCTGTCCTGGGAAAGTAAAGACAGCCGGCGTAATGCTGACCACATTACCCACAGAGTGCTGATGGTCTGTAAAAATATGGGACGCTCTGCCCATATGCCCGATGCGCCGAAAGGTGTAAAAAGGGAACTTTACTTTTTTTTTTTTTAACCATTTGGGAGGGGTTCCTATAATATACAGATAGACACGTATAAGATACAGATAGAATGGTGCTTCTGCGAGGAGGATCTGGCCGATGCTTAACACTCAGGAAAGGAGTGTAGTTCTGTGGTGTGCAAGTTTAAACCTTTTTTGGGGTGGGGAAGCAATTGGTGTAGTTCTGTGGTGTGAAAGTTTAATCTGTTTTTTAACAGATTGCGGTTCTGTCTGTCTGTTTCAGCTGCTTCTCCTGCATTGGATCTAAAGAAGGGAGTGTTGTCGACAGTTCAGCTGTCCGTCACTATGACCAGCAACAGGGAAATGGCTACAACCTGTACGAAGAAGATGTGCCTATGCTGGATGTTGAAGGTAAGCCGTGCCTGGAGATGGTTGTCAGTAAATGAGTAATAAAGAATAAAATATAGCACTCCAGGCATGGGTTCTCCTTCTCCCTCAGCAAATGTTAGGCAGCAGTAGTGGCTGATCATTCCAATGTCACTATGGTTGCAAACTGACTGGCTGACTTTCTACCCCAATAGGACATCACACAAGCGATAAACACCTGATGACACAATGTTCCACCATGTGGATGAGGATAACCCGTGGAGGGGTCCCAGAAACCACCTTGAGCCTTTAGACCATATTTATGGCCGGGCTATATTGCGGCCTCTGGCAAGACTCAGAGTAGGGCTTCAAATAACGAAAAATTGCATCCCACAGAGGGATGACAGGATAATAATATAAGTTGCAAACTGATTGAATTATCTTATATACTTTCTTACTGGAACCACTCTTGAATCTCAAACATTCTTAAATATGTTGTCTCTTGTACATAAGTCTTCAGCTCTCTGTGTGGGGGTTCTGGGATCCCCTTGTGTGTGTGTAGGGGTGGGGGATAGATTCACTGTCCCCTGTTGTAAAGGTCAGCTAATTAGAGGGTTTCCTTCAAAATTAAAGTACATTTGCCTGAGAGGCTAAGAAACAGATCTTAAAAATGGATGTGTATGTAAAACTGAAAGTCAGGAACAAGACTAAAGTCCAGAAGTGGACAAACAACTGGAACTTTCTGCCAGAATTCACAGCCAGTGAACATCAAGAAGAAGAACAAACATCTTCAGCTAGCAGTCATTCAAAGAGTCTTTAAAAAATCTCCCTTGTCTGGTGTGAGAGTCCCAGTTACTGACACTCTTGAAGCCATCAGATCCACTTCTTGTTGCCTCACATGTCATGATCCATGCAGTAACAATACTCCAATTGCACCATGTGTTGTTGGGTCACCAGTTGCTGTTGACTGTCTGATCAACTCCCTCCACCTGTGCTTGATATTTACACTTTGGTGTCCTGTCCATTGAAACATATTCTTTATCCAGGTCTTTCTTGGTCTCTTTCTTCTCCTCTTCCCCTGTACGGAACCCTGCAGTATGATTCTGGAGCGGCAGGTGTATCTTGTTCCATGTCTATGCCATTGCACCATTGTATTTTCCATCTTGTGAATGGAATACAGACTGAGAATAGACCACTATGATTGCTTCAGTGACTCAAAACAACATTATCATAGCCACATCCATTTTAATGCTAAAGCTTGTAGGCCTATAAACTCCATTCTGCTTAGCACTGATTTGCACCTTCATAATAAACTGCGCACACATGTTGTGATTGTAACTGACTCGTCAAGCATGCCGAAAAAGGTGGAGATGTATGCTGCGAGCAGAATGGCACCCATTGTTTCAGAAGTCCAGAGTAGTTAGCATCCTTTGGAAATTTTTCCCAGGGCAGGCAGGCTTGTTGGGAAATGGACTAGCAGACTGGCTGGTAAACTGATTCATGACAAGCTGGATGTTGTCAAAGCCATTTTGGAGCGAGGGAACGGTGCAGGCATAATTAGATTATCATGGTCTGAAGAGATTGGTGCAACGAGGAGTGACCAGGAGATCTGGCTGATACTTCACACTCAGAGGAAAGGCAAGATGGACATACAGTCATACTGTTACATGTATTATCAAAGCTGGAACTCTTTGCTGGTTGCTGAAGTTGAGAAAGGAGCACATATGAGAATGCCCCGAGTGCTGTGTCAGCTCTTGAAACTCAACTCAACTTACACCTTCATAGCGCTGTACCATGACCACAGTACATCACTGTACATGAGTATTGTGATTCTACAGTTGTACCCAACTGTACCATGACCACAGTACATCACTGTACATGAGTATTGTGATTCTACAGTTGTACCCAACTGTATCATGACAAACAGTCTGTCATAAAGATAGAGATTTTGTTCATAATTTATATAATCCTGATGTGATTTTCCAGGTATAGACAGTGACCCAGCCCAACAGGATTTTGATGATGGGGGCATGGACGATGACGACATGCTGCTGATGGACGACCCAAACTCTCCCTTTGAAGGTCATCTTCAGATCAATGGAATCAACACAGGGAATGACGAGACTAGAGGTATCAGCAAGATATGTTCACGTACAGCAGGGCTGTTCAACTAGCTTTACTCAGGGTGCCACAGTTTTAAGAATGGGGTTAGTCACAGGCCAGAAACCCAAGTTCCAGCATTGAAAGATCACTAATACAATACAACTGGCAGTGATTCGGCGGCCCACTTGCTGGGTCTCAGCTGGCCAAATCTGGCCCGCCGGCTACCGGTTAAATAGTCCTGACATACAGTATAGGGAATTGATACTTTCATACAAGTATTTCAGGAACCTCGCTCGGTGCTACAGAGCTCATGCACTGCGCTGAGATTCTTCGGACTCAGGCTTGAATTTTAGAACGGGGCACTTATGGGTTACTACCCTTGTGTCATGATGTTGATCCATTGTTTAAACCTAAACCTAAAAAATATGTTATGTTTCTAATCATGATAGTGGTGATTAGTGATGACTATTATGACAGCGCTCTGGACAGATCCGTAGGTGCTCCGATCACCTCCTCAGTAGCTCCACAAAAGTAAAATGACTGATCATATCTCCACCTGTCTTAATCATGCAACCTGGAATAGCCAAATATGAATATTTCAGCAAGGGCACAAGGGGTCTGGTTAATTGTGATAACGGGTAACAGCCCAACCCACACTGGAATAGATGTTACTTCATAATGGTTTTGTAGTACCTAATATAACTGCTACATGGTTGAACAGGGTTTTGTATCTGTTTGGTTCTCGTCCTTGGGATGTTAATCTTGCAGAATACAAGTCTGGAGGGTGGGGGGAACTTGAACAAAAAAAAAGCGATAATGAGTACATAAATGTTCCTTAATCTAGAAACACAGGATTTGTGGCCCATATAGTTATGTCAATATTTTACTTATTTATTTATTTATTTATACATAGAAGAACAACGACCTCCAGAGAACAAAGAAAAAGAAAGAGTATTTTCTGGCACTGTGGGTCACACAATGCAATTTTCTCAAGTGTCAAAATTGAGACAGAGAAAGTTGTTTCTAGCAGTGCCAATCATACGCTGCATTTGTCTCTAGTGTCAGGATAAAGTCAGAACAAGTTCTTTTTGGCAGTGCCAGTCATACGCTACATTTGTCTTTAGGGTCAGGATAAAGTCAGAACAAGTTCTTTTTTGGCAGTGCCAGTCATTCACTGCATTTGTCTCTAGTGTCAGGATAAAGTCAGAACAAGTTCTTTTTTGGCAGTGTCAGTCATTCACTGAATTTGTCTCTAGTGTCAGGATAAAGTCGAACAAGTTCTTTTTTGGCAGTGTCAGTCATTCACTGCATTTGTCTCTAGTGTCAGGATAAAGTCAGAACAAGTTCTTTTTGGCAGTGTCAGGCATACAGTACAACTACCTTCATTGCAAGAGATACAGGCAAAATTCTTTCTGGCAGCGACTCACTTGGATTTTTCATGGGTACATGAAACAGATTACATTCAAGTTTCCCGTCAAGTTCAGCTCAAAACAGTGCTGTCTGCTACCGCTCAACATATTTACACATGGGTCATTGCTAACGGCCACTTTCATGTCGGCTACAACTTCAGTATCTGACATTCACCCAAATGAGGAGAATGGAGCTGCGGGGAGTTACAGGCGGATCTGGCCGATGCTCGACATTCAGGGTAAAGGTGAGAGAGATGTGCAGTCAAACAGTTACTGCTACCCTCGAAATTGGAACTCTTCGCTTGCTGCTGAAGATTAGGATGGAGCACTTATGGGAGTGTTCACCTAAATAATTAACATTCCAAACAAAGACACAGTTGTTTGAATATGACGTACACATTCCTCTTTTCATGTGGAATAATATAACCCTCTTTTGTTGGAAACACTGCGTCCATGTCAGATTTCAGTTTCTCAATCCTGTTCATGTAACAAGCGTTGTTTTAATAATTTTTTTACATCTTACCATAAACATAATTGTATTAATTCTGTGTCTGCTTAATGACTTTTATTGGTAGGTCCTTTTTTAAAAAGGCCATAATCTCTAATTCACTCAAACAGTGAGTTTTGTTAAACATGAATTTTTAATCCATGAAGCACAAATCATCAATGAATCGTAAATTCTCCAAATCATACAAACCACAGTGTATGATTTTAAGAATGTGTTACATTTTTCTCGCCAGTTACCTTATTTAGAATGTATTTGTTGTCTCAGATATGAAAGCCAGTGAGATGGAGCCACAGAATGTGTTACATTTTTCTTGCCAGTTACCTCATTTAGAATGTATTTGTTGTCTCAGACATGGAAGCCAGTGAGATGGAGCCACAGAATGTGTTACATTTTTCTTGCCAGTTACCTTATTTAGAATGTATTTGTTGTCTCAGATATGGAAGCCAGTGAGATGGAGCCACAGAATGTGTTACATTTTTCTTGCCAGTTACCTTATTTAGAATGTATTTGTTGTCTCAGATATGGAAGCCAGTGAGATGGAGCCACATAATGTTTTACATTTTTCTTGCCAGTTACCTTATTTAGAATGTATTTGTTGTCTCAGATATGGAAACCAGTGAGATGGAGCCACAGAATGTTTTACATTTTTCTTGCCAGTTACCTTATTTAGAATGTATTTGTTGTCTCAGACATGGAAGCCAGTGAGATGGAGCCACCGAGCACAGACGATAACAACATGTGTCTGGGCCTGTTGCTGCAGAAGATGATGATAGTCCTCACAGACAAAGTTGTCATCAGAGGCAAATACATTATCATGGGTGAGTGACTTGTGACATTTATCATCTGGTCTTGTCATTTGACTCCCAGGTCAACCCAGCCTTAAATGAGTACCGGGTGAATTCCTGGGAAATAAAGGCGGGTAGTGTGGCGTTGGCCATATCACCCACTGAGTGTTTACGGTTTGTCTATAATGTATATAGGTCTAGCACTGTGTGCCCAATGTGCTTGAAGTTGTGGAAATGGGTCCCCTACTTTACCCTTTAATCATTCATTTGTTTCTACATTTACAGATAATATTACACCTATGGATTTGTTCAGTATAGTGTACTAGATACAAAGTATATTGTAGTCTGTTTTCACTGTTTAAAAAAATATTTGTTTCATTCTTCTTCTTCTTATTTTTTCTTCTTTCACCAGCTGTAAACTCTGGCCAAACATTGCGGTAGTTCGTCCACCTCTGGACTTTAAGCTTGTTCCAGAATCTTGAGTGTTGTGTGCACATCAGTTTTACAGATCTGGCTTATTTGTATGTATGCATACTGTTGGTTCCTTGCCTGTCTGTCAGATGTAGTCCTATTTCGAAGGAAGCTCCCAATTAGTCAGCTCTTACAACTTGCTTTTGGGGAAGCAGTGAGGCTATTCTTGTTTTTCCACAATGGGGCCCGGAACCCACACAGGGAGAATTGCATTCTCAAGTTTAGGTTTAAAAAATAATGATAACACTTGCTTCTTTTGTCAGTTTTTTTTTTTGTCTTTAGGGATTACATTTAAATGAATGATAAGGGTCATTGTTGTGTTATGTGCCTGTCGCCGCAATATTGGTGGTGCCCTTATGTGATTAATATTGATCGCGTGCGCAACTGCTGATCTGTTGGCGACTTCTGCTACCGTCAATGATGAACTGCATTTCTAATGACAAACTTTTTGTGTTAACACTTCTGATGGCTACCGTATGCTTTTAATACGTGTGTATGTAGTGCATATGCTGAGACAGCAGTCTGTCAATCTTTACACAAGGGACTGCGACGAACATTCTGTGTGTTTTCTGTTGGCACAGGAGCGGAGCAACTATGGAGTGACTTGTTTGCTATGAAGCTGAAACTAAGATTACCAAGATATATTCTTTTATGTTGTAAGGTCTTAAGCTTCAGTGACTACCTCATTCCTTTTTTTTTTTATCTCTCCCCCCCCCCCCCCCCCCCTTCTTGGTGTTTCCATTTTTATGTTGTACAATTTCTCTGTCATCATCATTGGCTCATTCACACTGGGTGTCGAACCATTTGAGTCTTTATTTCTCAGTGAATTTAATAATGTGTTTTGTTGCAAATGATAACAAGAACCAGACACCAGCAGTGTAAGAGTATACTAGTGTAAGAGTATACTAGTGTAAGAGTATATCAGTGTAAGAGTATACCAGTGTAAGAGTATACCAGTGTAAGAGTATACCAGTGTAAGAGTATACTAGTGTAAGAGTATACCAGTGTAAGAGTATACCAGTGTAAGAGTATACCAGTGTAAGAGTATACCAGTGTAAGAGTATACTAGTGTAAGAGTATACCAGTGTAAGAGTATACCAGTGTAAGAGTATACCAGTGTAAGAGTATACCAGTGTAAGAGTATACTAGTGTAAGAGTATACCAGTGTAAGAGTATACTAGTGTAAGAGTATACCAGTGTAAGAGTATACCACTGTAAGAGTATACCAGTGTAAGAGTATACCAGTGTAAGAGTATACCAGTGTAAGAGTATACCAGTGTAAGAGTATACCAGTGTAAGAGTATACCAGTGTAAGAGTATACCATTGTAAGAGTATACCAGTGTAAGAGTATTGCTCTACCATTTGGCTAACATATATCAGTCTAACAATGTTTGTGTTTTCATTTCAGGTTTTTTTGCTGCTGTACTGATAACTAGTTGCTTTTTAATGGCCCAACTGCAGCCATCAACCCACCCTCCTCAGCTTTTCAGGCCAGATACCAACATTCAACAATTATTGGATTTGAAGGCCAACTTTACAATGATAGACGCATTGAACTGTGATAGGTGTTCTGGGGTATACAAGGTATGTAGCAGTGTTTTACCCCAGCTCTCTGTGGCAATTTTGTGTGAACTTTGTCAACTGTCTATGTCAGTCTCATGGGAACATTGGCAGCTGTCCGTGCCATCTCATGGGAACATTGACAGCTGTCCGTGCCATCTCATGGGAACATTGACCGTTGTCTGTGCCAGTCTGATTGAAAAATTGACAGCTGTCTAAGGCAGTCTCCTTCCAACATTTACAGTTGTTTGTGCCAGTCATTGGAACATTGACTTTTTGTTATGCCAGTCTCATTAGAACATTGACAACTGTCTATGCCACTCTCATGGGAGCATTGACAGTTGTCTTTGCCAGTCTTGTGGAAGCATTGCTGGTTGTCCGTGCAGGTCTCAAGGGGAAATTGACAGCTGTCTATGACAGTCTCATTGGAACATTGACTGTTGTCTATTACAGTCTCATTGGAACATTGACAGCTGTCTATGACAGTCTCATTGGAACATTGACTGTTGTTTATGCCAATCTCATTGGAACATTGACAGTTGTCTATTACAGTCTCATTGGAACATTGACAGTTGTCTATTACAGTCTCATTGGAACATTGACTGTTGTCTATTACAGTCTCATTGGAACATTGACAGTTGTCTATTACAATCTCATTGGAACATTGACAGTTGTCTATTACAATCTCATTGGAACATTGACAGTTGTCTATTACAGTCTCATTGGAACATTGACAGTTGTCTATTACAATCTCATTGGAACATTGACAGTTGTCTATTACAATCTCATTGGAACATTGACAGTTGTCTATTACAATCTCATTGGAACATTGACAGTTGTCTATTACAGTCTCATTGGAACATTGACAGTTGTCTATTACAGTCTCATTGGAACATTGACAGTTGTCTATTACAGTCTCATTGGAACATTGACAGTTGTCTATTACAATCTCATTGGAACATTGACAGTTGTCTATTACAGTCTCATTGGAACATTGACAGTTGTCTATTACAATCTCATTGGAACATTGACAGTTGTCTATTACAATCTCATTGGAACATTGACAGTTGTCTATTACAGTCTCATTGGAACATTGACAGTTGTCTATTACAATCTCATTGGAACATTGACAGTTGTCTATTACAGTCTCATTGGAACATTGACAGTTGTCTATTACAATCTCATTGGAACATTGACAGTTGTCTATTACAATCTCATTGGAACATTGACAGTTGTCTATTACAATCTCATTGGAACATTGACAGTTGTCTATTACAGTCTCATTGGAACATTGACAGTTGTCTATTACAATCTCATTGGAACATTGACAGTTGTCTATTACAATCTCATTGGAACATTGACAGTTGTCTATTACAATCTCATTGGAACATTGACAGTTGTCTATTACAGTCTCATTGGAACATTGACAGTTGTCTATTACAGTCTCATTGGAACATTGACAGTTGTCTATTACAGTCTCATTGGAACATTGACAGTTGTCTATTACAATCTCACTGGAACATTGACAGTTGTCTATGACAGTCTCATTGGAACATTGACAGTTGTCTATTACAATCTCATTGGAACATTGACAGTTGTCTATAATAGTCTCATAGGAACATTGACAGTTGTCTATTACAGTCTCATTGGAACATTGACAGCTGTCTATGACAGTCTCATTGGAACATTGACTGTTGTCTGTGCTAGCCTTATATAGACATTGCTGGTTTTCTATGCCAGCCGTATGTTCACATTTAATCTGTGTGTGAAAACTATACCTTCGTATTGTTGTTTAGGTGAGTCCCAGCACGGTGGACCAGCCAGAGAATCCTCGTAGTATACCTCCACCACCACCAAACACAGATGCAGAACTACCAGGCAACTACAGAACAAGTATCAGTTCATCAAGCACGACCACTGCTCCAATATATCAGCAGCAGGGTCCCCACACGGGCTTGTCTAGCCTCCTGGATGTTGGCAATGACACCCAATATCTGCCGCTGAAGGCTGCGGGTCTTGGCATGTACCAAGTGCTCTCTGAATGGCAGGCATCTTCCGACAGAGGGAGCCAGCAGATTTCTAAGAGACCTGCCTCAGAAGGAACCAGACCACTGACTTCACTTCCAGTGACTACAGCAACATCACAACAACAGAAGTCGACAGCCCAACCACACTATGAAAATACAACACAGATAGTGACTACCCACTTGGCTCCAGTTGTCTCAGGTAGGTATTGTTGTTGGCATATCATGTGCAGAAATAAACAGGTGGGGAATCCTTGAGGCCGTACAAGTATAATATATATTAAACAAACAGACAGTGTATTGATGGGCACTCATAGAAAGAAGTAGAAAGACAAAAAGACACACTAGACAACATAAAATCAAACGTTTTTGTTACCATCAGACTTGGGAAAATATAGCTGTCAAATTTTTGTTGTCTGATGTGTCCTTCTATCTTTGTACTTCTTTCTTTACTGATCAATAGATGGCTGTTTGTTTAATATTTACATAGTTGTTGGATGCTTACTATCTTTCAAGACAATAATGTTGAAGGGTGCTATAGTGAGGCGTGGGAATCACAGCCCGTGTAAATGGCGAGTGTGACTAGCAAGATCCGCTTAGGTTAAGAAGAGTCTTCCACACTGAGAACATGGGATTTCATAATCATACTTGCCAATGTGTGTATTTAAAAATTAAAATTTGAAGAAAAAAAAAACTGCCCCCTTTTGTCGTGTTTGCGTATGTTTTTGTTTGTTTTTTGTTTGCTTTGGTCCATAAAGGTGTGTGTGTGTGTAAATTACCCCCCACCCACCCCCAAATCCTTCCCAATTCTGCTTCTTAGTAACAGTTGATTGGATTAATTTCTTGGTATGACTGCAATCAACCCTGTTTTCATCATAATGCTTCGACTTAGATGCTTAACTCTTAACCTGTCTGCATTCCTTTTCTTCTTCATCACTTCTACATTCCTGATACCCCCCCAACCCCCTACTGCCATACAGCAGGCATGGTCTAGCGCATCCTGTTCCAGTGACTCCATCTCATTAGCTATATCATTCTTGTCCCATTTACACGCAATTTATATTGCAGTAGAGGCCAATCTCAAAATCTTCTACCCATCTGTAAATTCACCATTGAGGAGGTCCTTAGGTCCTCTACTATCCCCCATCCTGTAGATGTATCTCAGCCATCTGGTCCTTCAGATAGGTATACAATACAGCAGTACTGCACACACACTAGTCAGTGTTAGATGTCCTGTAAAACATGTTGACTATACCAGTACGTCGACTTCAGTTGGCTCAGGTAGATAAATATCCAAAGTGTTGTAATACAGTAGTAATACAGATGTAATACAGGATAGTAATACAGATGGAATGTAACGTTTTCACTGGTATCCCTGGGGATCGTTGCTGGAGCTGTAGTGTTATGCCTTATGTGATGCTCTTGGCAGGTGGCAAGCTATTCTTTGGTGAAATTCTGAGCCGTACGGGATAAAACTCAGCGCAATAGCCGATCTTCTGAACTTTCACTTTACCTTTCCAGCCAGCTACACAATTTCCCACGTATAAGACGATGTTTTCCATTTTTTTTGGTTATTTTTTGTGTGTAAAATTTTGTGTTGTCTTATGTACAAAATGTGTTTTAAATATTTATTTCCTAATTTTGGAATTATGAAAAAAATGTCTTGTACACTGAAAAAAAAAATATTGTATGTTGTATTTGTTTTCATTGATAGCTATTTGATGGTGAAGAAACCTGCAATGATAACTGTCTTGGCTTCGTTGTCCAGCAGATGCTCGAACATCTCATCCAGAGTCAACATCTCGGAGCTCCAGCTCACCGTCTCGCAGCTCCAGCTCTTCTGTGGATGAGAATTTTAAAGCTTGCAAAGGTCAGTCTTGCGGCAGCCTGAAGGACAGGCCTGTATTGGAGTCGGGTGCTACTGTCTATGTTGTGTTCGGCATCAAAGGAGTGGACAGGTCGCAGGAAGACATCGGCCATGTTTTAGACCAGTTCAAGGTTAGTGTCTTCTCTACATAAGTTCCACACTAGCACTAACTCAGTAAACTTCTTCCATTTTCTTCGCAGCGCTCATTGGCAGTGAACTCCAGTGGATAGTACTGGTTGTTTGTCCACTTCTGAACTTTTCTCTGTTTCCAGAACTTGAGTTTTGTGTGCACATCCATTTTACAGATATAGCTTATTGTATGCAGACTGTTGGTTCCTCGTCTCTCAGGTAGACGCACTGCGACTTTGAAGGAAATGCCCCTAATTTTGTTAGAACTAGAAGAAGACGATATTCACGCTAAATGCCAGCAAGCTTGGCAATCAAATTCTGTAAATGTTTTCTTGTGACTCAGATCAGGTCACACATTATTCCATCCTTTCACAACCTTTTCACCCTTTAATGGTTCTTCTTCTTCACAACTGGCTGTAAACCCCGGCAGAAAGTTCTGGGTATTTGTCCACCTGCTGACTTTTGTCTTTTTCCAGAACCTGAGTGTTGCATGCAAATCAGTTTCACAGATCTGGCTTATTTAAATGCAGACTCTTGGTTCCTTGCCTCTCAGGCACATGTATTCGGACTTCGCTGCTTGCCTCTCAGGCACATGTATTTGGACTCCATTCCTTGCCTCTCAGGCACATGTATTCGGACTTCGTTCCTTGCCTCTCAGGCACATGTATTCCGACTTCGTTCCTTGCCTCTCAGGCACATGTATTTGGACTTCGTTCCTTGCCTCTCAGGCACATTTGTTATGACTTCCTTCCTTGCCTCTCAGGCAGATGTATTTGGTCTTCGTTCCTTGCCTCTCAGGCAGATGTATTCGGACTTCGTTCCTTGCCTCTCAGGCAGATGTATTCGGTCTTCATTCCTTGCCTCTCAGGCACATGTATTCAGACTTCGTTCCTTGCCTCTCAGGCACATGTATTCCGACTTCATTCCTTGCCTCTCAGGCACATGTATTTGGACTTCGTTCCTTGCCTCTCAGGCACATTTGTTATGACTTCCTTCCTTGCCTCTCAGGCAGATGTATTCGGTCTTCGTTCCTTGCCTCTCAGGAAGATGTATTCGGACTTCGTTCCTTGCCTCTCAGGCAGATGTATTCGGTCTTCATTCCTTGCCTCTCAGGCACATGTATTCGGACTTCGTTCCTTGCCTCTCAGGCACATGTATTCGGACTTCGTTCCTTGCCTCTCAGGCAGATGTATTCGAACTTCGTTCCTTGCCTCTCAGGCACATGTATTCAGACTTCGTTCCGTGCCTCTCAGGCACATGTGTTCTGAGTTCGTTCCTTGCCTCTCAGGCACATGTATTCGGACTTTGTTCCTTGCCTCTCAGGCACATGTGTTCTGACTTCGTTCCTTGCCTCTCAGGCACATGTATTCGGACTTTGTTCCTTGCCTCTCAGGCACATGTGTTCTGACTTCGTTCCTTGCCTCTCAGGCACATGTATTTGGACTTCGTTCCTTGCCTCTCAAGCACATGTATTCGGACTTCGTTCCTTGCCTCTCAGGCACATGTATTCGGACTTTGTTCCTTGCCTCTCAGGCACATGTGTTCTGACTTCGTTCCTTCCCTCTCAGGCACATGTATTCGGACTTCGTTCCTTGCCTCTCAGGCACATGTATTCGGACTTTGTTCCTTGCCTCTCAGGCACATGTATTCGGACTTTGTTCCTTGCCTCTCAGGTACATGTGTTCTGGCTTCGTTCCTTGCCTCTCAGGCACATGTGTTCTGACTTCATTCCTTGCCTCTCAGGCACATGTATTCGGTCTTTATTCCTTGCCTCTCAGGCACATGTATTCGGACTTCGTTCCTTGCCTCTCAGGCACATGTATTCGGTCTTCATTCCTTGCCTCTCAGGCACATGTATTGGGACTTCACATTATGTCCCCAGCTAGCTGACTCCCATGATATACTTGAGGAGGCAGTGAATTTATCAACACAGGAAGGTTCAAGCACGATTCACTTAGAAACCATATGGGGGTTAGTGGTGATATTGGTACCACATTATGGCACCTGACTCGGTACCTTATTATTATCTTACCCCAAACAGGGGAAATCCACAGGTCACAGGACAGTCTATATTTCAGGGGGTGGTAGATAGGCTGCATGCAGTCGTGGGACCTAGGCTGCACTCTCTCGTGGGATGTAGGTGGGTTGGGGTTAAGGCCAGTTCTAGATGTTTTGGGGTTGTTAAAAGCATCAGAAAGCCGGAAAACCCAGTCTTACCACCCTCTAAAATGTTGGACTGTCCTGTGATGTCATCTGGGGTAGGATAGTAATAAAGCACCTCTAATTGCTAAAGAAGCTATATCACTGAGGAAAAAATGATGTTTTTTATTGTACCAGAGCACCAGACAAGAAATGGACATCTCCGACATATTTTATTTTGGAACTAGACACCCTCCTACTAATGTTTCATGACTAGTCATTTCTCTGTGCAAGTTTTCTATACAACATTGCTGCTTCGACAGAAAGTGTTGATTCTCTTCAGAATAAGACAGGCTGTGACAGCAAGTAATATGTTCTTT